GAACGTTCGTCCGAGTCGGAACGCACGTTTACTACTTGCATCAGCGAAGAGGCCCATAGACTATAAAGCCTTATGGTGATTGCAATATGTCCTAACAATTTTAGTGGAATATAGTGATCTGTAATTATTTTGACTCAATATAATCAGCTGTGATTATCATGTGTGATTACGATCAACCATAATCATTTTTGAATGTGATTACTATCAAATGACCTCAGATCAGATTAGTGGTCTGTGGGGGCAGGCACCCCTCTATATGGAAGAAAAACAGTGGCAAGTCAAAAGGATTAGGGGTATATATGGGACAAGTTGTGTACAGGATAAAATAGTACAATGACTCAGTTGGTTATGGGCTTGCATGTATGAAATGCCTTCCCTGAGTAGAGTTCAATTCTGTCCAGGTGCAGCATGGTATTTTGCTCCCAATGTTTGCCTGGTTACAAGGACTGAATTATATTATAGTTGTGATAATACTTGCAGATAATACAATGGATTTTGGCATTTTATATATCAGTATAAGTGTACCGGTTACTTATCTTGAAATATAATCACTGTAAGTACTTTTATTCATTACAAGGAATTTTACTAGTTTTCCCAATATAATCTATGGACATTTTTCCTGATGTGTTCATATGTGACTGATGGACGAATGTCATTGTAATTTGTCAATGATCAGTAACCGTGAAGAAGGTGAAAGGGAGAAAATCCGAGAATATTGACACCAAAAGTCGATGTGGATGTCGTGGTGGCGATGACTTTGGGATAGCGTTGAACAGTCACCAGAAAGGATCCTTACAAGTCTCGCCGCCATTGGGAGGCTTGAGGCAGCGAGACAATCCACACTTGAGCCGTACCTGATGCATTGGCATGTACCGTCGACTCCTCGAGAAAAGTGGCTCGGGGTTCTCGTCGTTCACAATAGTTGCCGGATAAAGAGCAGCCCCAAAGGAACAAGTGATGGATTCCCAGCTTTTGCTATGAATGCTATATGACCGACCACGGATGGGGCACTTGGATGATGGGAAATTCGTGGCTTTTGATTGCGAGAAAAACCGGAACGGCTTCAAATGATGCGGAGCCATTTCAGAGGGTAAGTATGCCGCTTTCAAATTGCCATGTCAAAAGAGATTTTTGATTTCAAAAACGGCGGATCGAGAGTCAGTGAACCCGCGACCATGATCATGTACATGTAGCATAATTCAAAGTCAGCAGAACGGTCGCCGTCACCTAGATCCACCACTCTGTTCTCTAGGTCGAATCAATGTTCCGACTCTACGCAGGCTGTGAGAATACGTCGCGAGCATATTACGGGCTACGCCGTCATCATAGCGTCGTGTCGTCAGGAAACGGATTGGATTTATACAGCGGAACAGGGTTGTCGTGGCAAAGCCTAATCATGTTTTGCCCAGATACCCACCGAATTCGGACTCCGCCCTCCAGGCGCCCTAAATAGCAGAGTTTGGTCGGTGATAGCCACAGTAAAAGAAGCACACTCAACTTTCTTTCATCATGGGCGATATCGAGGAACAAATCTGGAACGTGAAAGAATCGTGGTGGGACTCTGAGTGAGTACCCTGCAGAACTCCTTACTTCTACCATTTGTTATATTTGACTCATTTTTGACCAATTTGCTCTAGCACGGAAAATATGCAGGAAGCGATTTCCACTCTCCTCGAGGACCCCGATTTCTGTCCGAACGGTGGTCTTCTCGGCCTCCCGTTATTCGAGACTTACGAAGCCGGTCCCAAAAACCCATGGGACATCCAGGAAATCCTGGGTCAGCTTGAAGGAAGAGACGTCGTTGCCCGTTCAGCATGCGAAAATCTTGGCCTCGATGTTTCTATCAAAACCGCCATTGAGGAAGCCTACTCGTCCGACTTCTTTTGCCCAGCTTGGAGTTGCGGACGGTTATTGCTTGACCAAGCTGTTGACTTGTACGAATATCCGGACGTACAAGACCGGTTGCTGCAGCATTTTATGGATAACCGTCCTTGGGGAGCTACACCCCAACTAGTCCATCCTTACAACGGCCAACCTTGTTACGGGGCTGGGAAATACAACGTACTTTCCAAGGCCATAGCTTGGATTAGGGATTTGAGAGAAGGTGGAACGGGGTATGAATTGGAATGGCCTAATAATTATGATAGTGATGCAGAGCCGGACCATGAACGTGTACATTTTATTATGGTTGCGGCTTTTGGGCCTGCAGGGCAGAGGAGTCAGTGGGATGATTATGCAGGAGAGGAGTTTCAGGGATATCAGTGAGGGTTCTCTGTTCTTGTATCTCTTTCAATTTAAACCGCTCATAGTGAATAAATGAAACTTGAAGAATTGACGTTCGTGTCGCTAGTAAAGTACATAGTACTTCCTCTGATAGACATTACATTACATACTAATTCAGCTTGAAGTTCATCAACGCAAAACGCATCTGAGATGTATTGTTAGACTGTCGTTTCGAGCAATATTGTTCCGGTTCGTTAAAACTCTATCCCTGCTCATTTACGGTGCTTGAAACAGAATTGTCAGGTACTCTCGAACTCAAAATGGTCTGTGATACCGACATGAGATCTTACTCAACGGAGTGTTCAAGACGATATTGATATGAACGCTCTCAACTCATCGTAATACGAGGTCAGGATGATTCAGATTCAAAGGGGCGGTGGGATTCATGATAGGGGAAACGGATTGGGATTACACGTCAATAGCTGTGCGACGGTTGAGGTCTGAGGCCTTGATGCTTTGACATTGAGCAAGTGATCTTCCACCGTATGACCTTGTACACTAAACCTTCTGAAAAAATGGCCAACACCTGTAAAGAAAAAAAGAAAAAAACAAAGAAAAAAGACGTACGTTGCCCCGCCAACCCCAATACGCTGGATGACGCGTCCGAGGTCATAAAGGGTAGTCAGAGCTTTTACCCAACCAAATGAGAAAAAGAGGTTTAGTGGGAATTCATGACATTGCAGTTCCAACCTACAACAAGTCTACGACGCAGTAGCTTATCGTGATCTGAGCAGACCGAAAAAAACGCCGAAGGCTGCGACGCCTCCTTGTGGTTGGAATGATGCCATTGCCAATAACTGTATTAATATTTATCGGGTTAAATACACAGTTTCACAAGTACAATCTTAGGTTCGTACTCGTACTCCCTTTCCATGTCCTCACTGCCTGAACACAGGCTTTCAGAGGCGTTCCTTGCCTGATCACAGGCGACGGTCTTCTTGATCTCTAAAGCCTGAACACAGGCGGTGCTGACGGCGCCTGACCACAGGCAACGTCTCACCTTCACTTACTCCCAGATGACATTGTCTGAAGGTATGACATTAGTGGTGATCTCACCCATTACTTCATCTCTTGTTACAGCCTCTAGTTAGTTCTGTGCTTACTGATACATTCCTTCTTATCCCTCGCTATCTTCTGTACTTTCTTCGTTCTGTCTGCTATCTTTAACCGCCCTCTCCACCCGCATATAGTGTTTGTATAACGTTGTTCATTTTCATTTCTTGGTACTTCTCTCACCTACCATTACTGTATATAACGCCTCCCACCCCACCCTCTGTATTACCTATTCGGCCATCTTGAAGTCGGGTCTCTCTGGGCGCTTGACCTGGCCCTCACGCCGCCGCGTGCTGGGTTTTTTGTCGCCTATTCCCTGCTAAGAACTGAAAGATTGGAACGGGTTGGTTAAATCAAAGATAAGAAAAAATAACCTACCACTACAAGAAAGCGAGAACGAGTCGTACAGCATTTGCTTGTGCAGGTTGGATCTGCATTCGTATTCGGAATCCTGGGGCAGGAGGTGGATGTAGAGACGGCGTACGAAGGCAACGAGAAGTGCGCAGTGTAAGAATGAGGGGTGGGAAACGGGAGTGAGAGCAGCTTGACGAGAAGGATGAAAGGTTGTAGGGATAGCGGCGAGTGAGTCGAGTATAGAGTATAGCACCAACTCTTGTACTAACTCTCGCTCCCTTGAAGCGTTAAGCCGATATCTGCTATTTGCAGGGGAGGATTCCATCGATGGAAGGTGGATCATGTTTGTGAGAGATGGTGGATTGGGAGAGCGTTTGGCAGCGGTGCCGTTGAGGTTTCTGATGAGTAGCATCGATCAGCGTTGAGGGCCATACAGATGACTCACTTCGAAATCCTTGAATGTCACCAGGTCCTCTCAACTCCCAATCGTCACCCAAACCACGACCCCCAAACCCATTTACAGCCGCAGATCCAAGCACGAGGGAAAAACTAGCTTCTGTTTTCGCAGATCTCCGTATGCTGGTCCGGGAAAGTCCAGAATCCAACCATTGCTGCGAGGGAGGATACGATGGTGGCCACACCCCACGAAGAACAGCGTCAAAAGACGGTTGCAACATGACGCAACGAGAGTGTCCGAAGATAGGTCTATTGGAGAGAGGAAGCGTTCTACAGCCTGTAGGATACTGTTAAGAAACCGACTTGGGTTCCTATACCGTCAGGAGACACGACCTCCCAACGTTCTCTGAGGGCTCGAAGTGGGAAGCGTGATGGTATTGAATTCGAATATCCCAGGGAAAGTGTATCGGATCCGGATTGGCGCGCAGTAAGGGCATGAGCTGGAATCGATAACGAGTAACCAGCGAACAATCTCTTCGTAGTTGACGTACGCCTGGGCACCTCTTTTTTCCACCGAGTACCTAAAGATCGTCTTCTTGTCAGAGGTATTGCGGATCTCGTAGTGATAGAAAATCAGAGGCAGAATGATAACGGGTAAGACGATGCACTCACAGCAGTCAGAAAAAACCCGCCTCATCGTGGTACGAGTCAGAAAACCGAAAATCACCGAAAATACCGAAGCTAGTCACATTCCTTCACCGGAATGATGTAATTAAAAGATTAAACACCAGAGAGAAAAGAAAGAAAGAGGCTGGCTAGGCAGCTCGAGAACGGGAGGCCTGCCCTACTAACTGTTTCCCGGTGTGACTTACTATTGCAAGAAATGGGGAAAAATTGAACAGTCGACTCGATTATTCCGTTACAGGGAATCGAACCCTGAGCTATTGCGCAGGTGTTTTTAACACCGAAGTATGAGAGGCGATAATGTTAACCATTACACCATAACGGAGCTGTGCAACTCCCAAACTGAACGCTCCATAACCAGCATATCGAGTGCCCGAGCGTAAGTCCTCCCGCTAGTCCGACGTTACTCAATCGTTTCCGAACTGTGATTCAGTAATAGACTCATGCTATATATAACCATCCTATAGTAGAAAGTGATACCCCATAATCACTCCATTTTCTAAAATTCTCATTTCAGGCTTCAAAACACCAGTATGACTCAGACTCGACTGTTTTAATTTTTATTGCAAATCACTGACTGAGATAGGCAAGTCATATGCGTCAATCTTCCAACTGTATGGATTTGTCAGTACCACCTGAGGATCCCGATAGCATGTAAACATTAACCAAAAAAAGAGTCTGACGCAGGGCGTCGAATTCCATTTTCTGGCCTTTCATGTAGAAAAATTTTGAGAGAACCAAGATTGGACAGCTCTGAGTCTTTAACTTGGGACAGCTAACAACACTCCGGTCTCTCGACATCATCTACATCTGTCCCTAACATTGAAATCAATAACCGTCGTCATTTGCCGCTACTTGAGTGCTTCCCAGCAGGAACTCAAGTTTGCACTCGCGAGGTCTTTTAAATACCACTGAACGTACCCCATGTGTTGCCAGTATTGAGTATATGACCGAGCCATGAATAGGGGCATATTCTCTGGGCTTTGCTGCATGTCAAAAAGGATCTGTCGTTAAGTGAGCCTGGCGCATGGGATACACATAATGCGGCCTACAAACCAAGTTTGGTCGGCCATAAAGTCTCATGTATACCTCCAACCCAGGGTTACCGAGTTTGTTCAAGTACAGAGTTGATCTGCATCAGTAACTAGTCTCCCAAGAACTGCATGTGCTAAAAGCAATAACCTTTTTGAGGTCTCAATCTAACACTTGAACTTTTGACCTTTGCCAAAAATGAAAAAGAGTTCCAAAAAGGCCAAAAAGGCTACAGTTGTGATTTTACTGATGAGGGGAAATATCAATTGAGCCTGCATCTAATGTAGCTGAGCAGGTGGTTATGAGCTCAACTGAAATTCAAGTATACAGATGGACCCATTATCTGTCATTGAACCTCCAGTGTTCCAGAAATCTGAGGGGTGGTCTGTTGAAAGAGTGGGAATCAATTGGACATTGTGCTCATGTGGTAGGCTCTGGGGTAGTACATTTTATATGCTGTTGCAAGTCAGCATAGATGAGTTCACCTATTTCATGTATTTGAGCTCTTTTCCATTCAGTACATTCTGAATATGGATTGCCTCTCTCTCCTTGGCCCCCTCCAGCTTTTCATTCCATGTAGAAATAATCCTTGTCACCTCATCTATATGAGTTACCACAAGCTCACTATGTGCAGGAGAAAAGGTCTAAAAGAAGGTCTAAAAGTTTCCCACAAAAATACATATTACTTGGCAACAACACATACCTTCAACCAGTCATCAACCAGTCAAGACAATTATTTCATTGTCCAGATATATCCTCCAGTATATAGAGTCCATCAACTGAAATGAACTGAATATTCTAGAACTGACGCACCCAACTAGTGGGATTTTAAGGTTTATACGGTGACTACTCAATGAGCTCACAATACTCAAGGTTGGATTGAGGAAGCAAAATATCTACTTAGGAAACACTTACAGAAACACTGGCTAAGGCTTTTTGGAGTGCTTTGGGGGAAAGACAGATTCTTGCAGAAGACTTGAGGGCAATAAGGGCCTTTAGGGCACTGGAGGAGCTATGACTCTGTCTGAGGGGGGCTTTGATTGCTAACTGGGGCTAACTACTGGGGAGACAGGGGGGCAAATGGACAAAATAACTAGGCTGAGGTTTTGAGGGCAAAACCGGCAGTTCTTTTATATTATACAGGTACCTTAGGTGATAGAAAGAGTCAAAGAACCACTTGTAGTAAATAAAATTACTAGGAAAATATCTAGATATGGGCTTAATAGGTAGTTTATAATATAACAAGGATAGAACTACTGTAAAAGGCAGGGGTTAGGCTATACAAGAAGCTTAGAGAATGTTACAGAACATTACAGGCCCTGGAAATCCACAGACTTAAGCTTAGCTGTGCCAAAACCGGTGGTCCACAGGGGAGCAGGCCAAAAATTTTGGTAGGGGGGTCCATTAGGTTGGGCCAAGGCCATCCATTGAGTACCAGAATGTATTCAATTCATGACATCTACTGGAGCAGTGCAGAATAAAGTCTGCCACTGTACACCATTCCAATACCTCATTGAGATTTATTGTATTGTGAAATTTGTAAACTCCATGCATGATTCCTTTATTGGAGATCACTAAAAGTATTAGTTATTGCTGTCAAAGGCTACCTTATGCCAACAGAATTTGGGAAAGTGCTCATACAGAAGGGTTTGGATATGTAGTACTGAATGCATTCTATGAAGAATAAGGACTACATTACCAGAACAGAACTGTAGAAGCTGTTTAATTCTTTTTCTTTGAGGAGTAGCTGCTTTAAGTTGCCACAGAAGTAAAACAGCAGCAATGTCTTTAAAAATTTTCTGGTGATTGTAGCAGAGTTGAGGACCTGTGTGTGGAGAATGTCAAGGTCATGATAGGGGGAAGCATTATAAACTTCTGGTTCAGACAAAGACAGGCCAAGAATGGAGTGGGGAATTCCATTTGTCTGCACCAGTCACTATTGCGAGTTCTATCAGATTCTTTCTGCAACATTTTGATGTTACTGTTGATGTTTGGATTACCCTTGAGTGAGACAACTTTGCAAACTGACAGAGATTCTGCTGGTGGAATGCCTCTTAAATCTGTAATTCAGGGTGACCGGATATGAGGCAACATTTCCTCCATTGCTAATAGAGAAAGTAAAAGGACCTGCTTCTGCTCAATGGATTGAGGCATTCAAGACTATCAATGACAGCCAGTGATCACATTGTCAAGGTTTCTGACATAGTGAGGAGCTCTGGAGTATTTGGTTCCCCACTGGAGCAAAGGTTCAACAACTAATGCTCTAAATTGAGCTTCCAATGTCATACGCAATATTGCTGGCCTGATGGTAAGCACCTGAAATGATGTAATACAGAGTAGGATGCACTGCAATGAGTGCACTAGCAGTAGCTAATGCCAAATACTTGGGAGGATTCCAGTTTGGTTTGGATCTGTCCTGGAGAAGAAAAAGGAAGCCAAAGGTCTTTCCTCTCATTCTCTCTACTATTATCTGGGCTATGGTAGATTTTTTTGCACCAGCAGAACCCCACAATCAACAGACACCAGGAACCTTTCATGATGGACTAAAGTCAGCCCACTTGAGAGAGTCCTTCAAAAGCTCTTTTTGAGAGCACTTGGGCTGAGGAAAGTGGGTTTGAGAGTCATGACAGTAGTAGTACTGCATAAATTTGAATGCCAATGGTGCAATGGTACATCTGGACAATCATTCAAGGAGTCTACAGTTCCCATGGTTTGAATACCTCAGAACCTTCAGAGCTTAAATACCTGCAGTCTGCACTGACCCACGATCTGGTTCAATCAAATACAGCTTCGGCGCTGAAAAGGAACATCAAACTGTTGTCTCAAAAGGGAAGACTTTGGGAATGTCCAAGGTCCACTCATGCACCATGGCTCTGAACACCTTCCAATATTTACTAGGAGTGTGCTCAAATGACAAAGCCTAAAGGCATCTATTACACAGATCAACCAGAATCTGAAGACTGATAGTATAGAACTACAAAGTATAGAACTACAAAGTCTAGTACCCAAAACCTAGCTCATGGACAAAACTGGTCTCACTGCATCTAGATCGTTCAGATCTCAGATTGCAGAAGGCCATGCAAACCTTTACCTACTCCGAACATTCACATCGTATGACGCCGATTTGATCTGAGCCCCTGTGGTGGGAGTCGAGACCCCCGTCATTTTGTGGCACTGCATTAAAGGTTCCTCCAAATACATCTGAAAACGTTATCTAAAAAATCATTGGTCCTGTCAAACCGGTGTGATCAGTCATGGTCAACCTTCATGATTGCTGTCTAGGGATGAACCCGTGGTGTCAACGAAGGTGTGAATGCTGTAGCAAATCAGTGTTAAATTTCAAGCCGTACTACATTCTAGGATGTGCTTATCTTTCCTTTTTTTGATGGTTATGCTTGCTCCTGGAAACCTGAAGAAGTCCGCAAGCTTGAAAAGTGAGATCTAGCATCATTCTGTGTTTACCCGCACGCTCTGGCCTGTTTATTTTTTTTTTATTTGAAATGCCGTGTATCTGCTTGCCACCGTAGTATTACTTCAATTGCTCGAGGTTATGAACTAGTGGATGAATGATTGGTCAAGCAGATCTGCTCGGCAATCTGTTTAAGTCTCGTCTTTTTGCTGTTCTAAAGTGTCGAAGAAAATCTATCTGTAACATATTGTACACGAAACACATCGATATCTCACACTAAATTCACATTCATGTCTTTCACTTGAGTTTGTTTTATATCCCGGTAAGTAAATCTATATCTACTCAGGATTTATATCTTGAATTTAGCGATGTCAATGAGACTTAGCTCCAATTGGCTCTCCCAAAGTCCTGGGCCCTACCGCTCAGAGGGCGTTTGTGGCGCTCGAACCGGTCGTGGTACTACTTACGATCTGGTCTTTGGATCCGGAGGAGTTTCCAGAACGACGCTTACCGAGCACGAGTCTATTCTCACGATTTGACGGTCGGAATGAGGTGGAGAAAATGGTAAATTCCTTTACGGGTGTTGCATTGACACCGGCTAATTTAGCGCGACTACTACATACGTCCATGGCCATGCTTATTGCGTGCTGGTCAGACCCGGCGGTTCCCTTTTCCCTCAATTCTATCCCGAATAACTTTGACACCTGCCAAGTGGCAACTTTTCGGTACCTTAGGACATGGTACTACAGTCATCTACCGGTCACTGATACAAACGACGTTCTCGCTCAACTCTGTGCACCTACCGCCCTCAAAGAATTATGGTAGACAGATGTATACATTTTTTATCACTCACTGGGCGCGAGACAGGATAACTCAACATGAGTTATTCTAAGTATTATGCTAACTTTATTTTGGAAAATATACCGTACTGCACGTGAGCTATGCTGACATTATGATAAAAATTATGCTGGTGATATGTCGATGTTGTGCTAACTTTGGACATAACATTAACATAACTTTTATCATAACATCAGCATAACATTAGCAAATCTCACGTGCAGTATGGTAGATTTTCCAAAATAAGGTTAGCATAACAATTAGCATAACTCGCATTGAGTTATTCTGTCCTGCACCCTGATTGACAATAATTTATGGCAGACAAATACGAAAACTGAATTTACAAAAAAATTGTTAGTAGGCTATGAAACAGTAATTTTGGTCTAGCAATCAGAGTCTTCCATATTTATGTCTAGATTTTTGCCAGTTTACTCCAAAATGCACAAAGACTCGGTTCTGAACAGTGAGAAGTATTGTTCCAGCAAAGATAGAAATTTGCGCCATCTTGAGTGTGATGATGTAAGCGCGGTGCGCCTCTTTTCCGCGCGTCATTTTGTATCAAATTGACCATTTTGGAAGCCATCGTCTAGTATAACAATCCACATGATAAAAAAATTGTAGCATTCTAGGAAAAGCTTATTATGTAGTAAAGGTCCATTGTAGGATGCTTAGATACACAATTGGGAGACCATAATTAGGGTGTACAGAATTTTGTATCGGTGACCGGTAGATGACTGTATTCTTAGGAACTAGGGGTAGGTGTTTACAAATTAATGAATTTTTTGTTCCCCCCATTTCTTTGTAGATGGATGGACCTTCTACCTACAATCTATGCACTCACTTTCTCTTATCAGCACAATTAAAGCATCAGCATTGTTGATCTAGAGCTGGTATCAGAGAGAAATTCTTGGTGCTTGGGAAAGACTAATGACTTGTGGCGGAGCAGCTCACAACTTTGATTTGAGGTCCACTGAGCGCGACATGTGCGGATTGACTTGAAAAATGACCATTTTGAATTCAAACCCTAACTTGAAAACGGATAGCCAAGACAGGAGATTCAGCCCGAAATCTTTTTGCCAGGTTTCCAACTTGAAGTGATGTTTGGTCTGCTACTTACGCGTTTTGGAGTCTTACTGCTGCTCCTCTCGAAACTCAGTTCTTCCTGAAAAATCCTATTCATTTGACTTTTGAAACACAATTTTGAATATCAAAAGGCCCTAACATTGTGGGCAAGGAGTTGTAGTGTGGATTTTCTCTCATTTTTCTACCCTCAGCATTATCTGACCTCTCTTATAACGCAATATGTAGTGTTAGTGTTGATTTCAATTGTTCAGTTTTATGACACTTACTCATAACGATAGAGCCCAGATGTTATTAACAGCTAACAAAGGTGTTAATTTATACATCAGCCTGGATCTCTTGGAAACACACTGCATGTACAGACCAAGGAAAAGTTGCTAGAGCTTGTATTCAGAGAAAAAGGTGGTTTTTGGTTTAAGTAAAGGGCACAGAGAACAAGTGAGGCTCAAGCAGAGGAAAAGATATGCTTGAGATAAGCTGGTCCAGCTATATAATCCGGTATAACAAGTTAACGCCAATGTGCTCTTAACAGTTTACTGTCAAGTATGGAAGTACCACAACTGTTCCTCACTCCTTCGGGAGTGACACTACTAGGACCACTATATACTCACCCTTCTTCCTTGCACAATCGGCTATCGTTTCTTTGGATGTTAGATGACAGGGGGCAGGCAAGTAAAATGAGATCGGGGGAAGTCTTTGAGTCCCATTCTTCACAAGAGCTTGAAACTTGAAGGGTAGATTCCCGAGATAATAACAATGATAAGCGTTTTGGGAAATGTGAAAGGTGAACCATCAGCCACTAATCCAGTCTTGTTCAGTATTTCGGCTTACCTGTATTAATATTCTCCCCATGATTCAATTACCCGTGTTAGTATTCTAAGCCAGATTCTACTACCTTTCCGTCTGTTTCTATTATTGCAATTTCAATATGCACTTATCCTTTTGAGCTACCCTTTTGTGCAGTCGCTCGATGTGGCGTACCGTGGCGTGTACCCGCACTATAAATTATGGATTCAAGGCTTCGGACGCGGGTACGGCACCCGTATGAATGCATCCCAGCTGTACATGGTGTGCAGTGCTATCGTAGCCTGGGGGTATGGTTGCATTGTGATATATGGTTATAAGTCCCATCTTTTCTTCGAAATCTCCGTTCTCCTTATCACCGAACACCATGAAAACTCGGTCAATTCTGTTCTCGGTTTAAAGAGAACTGTCAGGACGACGCGTCTTAATCTCAAGATTATACAGAGGGTTGAGAGAAGATCTGGGAATATGACAATGTACTTGCAGTAGTCCCAGGACTACATTCGAGATACGCAAAATGTAGCAGGCGGGGAGTGGGTCGGAAACCGAAAACGCCGAAAACGAACGTCTCACAGAGCTATATACTAGTAAGAACTTGGAATGATAAGATTTAAGATATATCAAACCTGTATGTATCCATCATTCAAGTAAAAAGTAGAGATAAAAATACGGAAGCACCCATTTTTCCGTTACAGGGAATCGAACCCTGAGCTATCGCGCACTCGCTGACCTTTGTCGTTTAGAATGAGAGGCGATAATGTTAACCATTACACCATAACGGACTTCCTGAATTCCTGCAAAATGGCTCTCGTTCCGTTTCCCATCTTCACTCTGAATTACTGACGCAAGTGACGGTGGCTGCAGGGAGCCCGTGTTCAGAGGAAAATCGTTAAAAATCAGATTAAGATAGTGTGATTCATCATACATCCCCACTTCATGCCCGGTGACATGACGGAAACGGACCAGAGGGATCGGCTTTACAGGTGGAGTAACTAGATGGTAAAGGCCCTTAGTCTAGGGAAGTACTTCTGATAACAAACTAGGTAGAGGTCGATGGGTGAGGTGAATGCTGGTCTAATAGTGAGCTAGTGAGGAATCGACAGGAAATAGGGATTTGAGCGCCCGCGGCCCAAATGCTAGCCTCTTTTTTCTCTAAAGCAACGGCAAGTTGAAGTTTAATTCCGGGGCGTCATCCAGATTCCAGATGTTGAGTACTGATGATCGATGGAGCACAGAGGCGGCGGTAATTACGGCCCGAGACGTTCGTCAACACCATCGCTGGAAACCGCACTCATCGTGCAGACTAAGCGAGCTTTCCTTCCCAGAACAAGCAAGTTTCACGCCAAATTTACGGGAAAAAATATATAACGAGCATACTTATGATGTGGCGCGAGCACTATACATAGCGACTGTCACTGTGATTATTTTGTGAGTGACCGATGCACGAGTGACCGGTCTAGTAGATGACTGCAGGTAGCGTAACGTCACTAATATCATTTTTTCGCTTCCGGAGTGTCTTCTTCCCAGAGCCACAACCCACCCTTTATACTCAACTCAGAATCCCTTCAATCGAAGATTTATCTAGTATTCAGATAATACAACTATAACCCGTTCCTATAGATACAAAATGAAGCTGGATTCGAAGGGAAGGAACCGAGGTTCACGTCAGGTTTTATTGTAATCCAGGTCCATTATGACGCTTTCAACTGCTAACGTCCTCATCGTTGAATTGTATCTTAGTCCTCCTTCATTCTCGCCAAATACTCCGCACCGACATTACGGGGAATGGAATCCGTGGGGAGGGCAAATATAGAGAACTCAGGGAGAAGGAACCAAGTTTAAAATATCCCAAGGACCATACATTCAATTCTGATAAATCGGGTATCTGAATATACTACCTGCCTGCCGAAACCTCCGACCTCGTAGTAACATCGACACTAAAATCGTGAGTCGACAAACATAGCTCCCTTCCTCCGAGCTCACTAACATTTGAGTCGTCTCGATCCTCCGACCCAGTACCTGAATCTCCACTCCCAGAAGAGTTCGGGTTGGCACGTACAACAATAAGCGTTGGGGTAATTCCCTAAACAACAACAAAAATGTTCAAAAATGTTCCTTGGTAGCGCTTGGATGCCACTCACCCCGATTTGAATCAGTACAGATCCAGCATCATAAGCCTCGGCAAAGTTCCCCACCAAGTAAACAGCGAGACCAAGTAAATATAAAAGACCGGATTCCAATCTTTCGGATGGGTCAGCGCAAGACAAGGGGTGGGAAGTCTAACTGAAAGAAAACAGTAACTCACAGGATGACCCAGACAAAACCGAACCTCTCACTGACTTTATTATGGCCCATACGACTCCTACGGGATAACCACCATATTCTACCAGCTAGACAGTAAGAACAATAAAGAAAAAGCCCAATCAGAATCAGAGCGGACATTGGGCCTAGGCAGAGCGAAGGAGTTTTTACCCACCAAGAACACTTGTCAACGCGAAATTGATCAACGTGCTTAACCCTATACACCCATTCGTCACGTATTTCTCAATCGTCAGTACGAGCAATCCTGTTGCAGTTCTTCGTCGAAAATCCGTTGCTGTCACTATAACGGAGACCAGTGCGCCCACTATCCGTACCGAAAAGGAGGAGTGTCAGTGAAGATTTTAATCCAAAAGATCTCTGAGTTGGAATGAAGGTGATGGAGGAGGGCGCGAAGAGGTACTACTCACCATTGACGAGGACGGATAAGGCTATCAGAGATCCAGGGCATAGTATCCGTTTTGTTTCAGTACCGAACATCATGAAACATCGAAATATCTATTGAAGAGAGTTTTGAGTCTGTTGTCTTTCTGAGAATATCTAGCTTGAAATCAATTGAGGAGAGACTTACCAGGATAGTGTCAACTGTGGTCCTATCTCGCGGCGGGGAGCGAAAATTTTGAAGAATTACACTTAGCAGTAGAATGATAGCTAGGGATGTTCGGGGCAACTTACATCGTCACAAAAATGATAAAAAATCGAGCCGTTCTTTGGTGAAAGAATAAATATGAAAGAAATTATCAAAGGGCCTTTGCGAAACAGCCACGTACTGCAGGTGTATTGCAGTTTTAAATAACTCCTCTGGGGATCCCGATTGGACTTTTGTAGACCACGCGAAGGCAACTCGCAAGATATCCAAAGTTAAGCAAACCGGAACACCCAATGACACAACAACGAATAAAAACGTGAGCGATATCTTATGGAACTCTCGTGCCCTGGACCGAGGTCTGTTTTTGATTAGACGAAATGAGCTATAGAAGAGGGTGATGTAGAGGCCGTATAATAGGAAATGGAACTGTTAAGGATTGAGGAACTCGAAAATCCAACGTGCGATTTCGCAATAGGAAAAGACATCGGCAAACTCACAGCTGTTATTATAAACCCGCTCACTATCCAGTATCCAAACAGTGTTTTGTCTTCAAGGACTGGTAGCGGTGACTCGGACATCACTCAGGCGGGGTGGCGAGGGAAGGGGTAAAACATTCCTCAGACGTGTCGCTGGTGCTGCTTTTTTATGAGGACTCCAATTCCTAGTCGCTGCACTGAACGTAAGTACCGATCAGATGACATAACTCAAACCGGCTCGGCTTGCTTTTTTTCCCACCCCAAATTGGGGGAACATGTCCTTATGCCCGATGCGGCGTATTTACTGTGCTCAGGGTCCCCGCGCAGTATACTAATTTGGTTACGAGTGGAGGTCCAGGCTCCCACAGCCAGCCCAACGTGGGGAGGAGGAGGAGGAGTATGTTACACGGCAGGGTCCACGGGTTGAAAAAAGGCGCTTTGATGAGTAGGGAGCACATACTCGTAATCTGTATTATGTTTAAAATTCACGGGCCAGTCAGATTGCGAGAAGTGAGAGGTTCGCCTTTTCCTACGGGAGGCTTTGCCCAAGTTTTCGACACCTGATTGGTCGACATATTTCAAACATAATTCTCATTACTTGAGATATCATAGCCTCCCTGTAGTGGGACTGGCTTTGGGAGCCTGGCGGAGGTCAGGACCAGGCTTGTGCGGACATTAGAAAATTTTGCTGATGCGCCCGCAGGTACGGTGGCGCCGAATCGATTATCCATATCCGACCAGTCCAAAAGACCATCCTTTCATAATTACTTACATACCTACAGCTTTATAATGTCAACCCCTTCACGTGTACATACTAGCTTCAAATTTTCCAGTCAGACCGTAATGAAAATTCGATGGCTGTGAAGATACGTAGCTTACGATGTCGTCTGCGTGGAAAAACATTGGGTCTATTCGGCGCCACTGTAGCAGTACCAGAGTACTTCGGATTCCTACTATCGTTCAATTTGAAAGGAATCCTTGATACTAACCGTTGCCCCGCTGTCGCTGACCTTGTATCCAGCAAAACCTTAGCCTCAGACTTGAGAAGATAGTCCAAGGCTGCTCTGCATGTAAACATCTTCTTGAATCCTTCTACTACATATACTGATTCCATTTGGTGCCCACGGTAACTCGTCCGATCAGGGAAACCATTAGCACAGAGATAATCACCGATACACGGTGCAGATGCCTAATTTTCCTCGAAGGTACGGATACCATCACCCAACGCATTTGTGGAATATGGGACGCGGTCCCCCTTCTTGTCCGATAACAACTATGCAGAATCTGATTTCCCACTAGTAGATAGAGTAGAAGTGGAAATGAGAAAACACGGTCATCGTTGATATATCGACGTTCAAAAGGTCCAGTCAATTCGCATCTTCTCTATCAACAAACTGAGATGTTGAAGAGTCTACGACGAAATCCGGTCACCGCCAAAGCTGCGTCTTGTCCTCGTGTTGGAATGATGTCAAGATAAAGGAATGCTCTTTTTTACATGGGCTTATTGCTTCTGGGTGTCAACTAATCAGAATACATAACTAGCTCTACCCCGGGGTGTCTTCCACCACTGGACATATATACGCCAGGTGTCTAGGGTGACGGGCAAAAATATCTCCCTACCAACTTGGGAATCATCTCCGAACCCCCCCCCCCCCAAATGCGGATGCTTGGCGATGCAACAACCGACGATTTTGTTTGGAGAAGGGGCTTCATGCAGAGGAGAAGATTCGAATTGCAGCAAGGTAGGCAAAACCCCATTCTGTTATCATGAGTGGATGACTTCCCGTAAGGATTATTTGCCAAAGCCTTGACGATTAATGCTCCAAATTTCGGAGTTATCACAAACCTCCTCCTTTTGGACCTGGACCGAGGGTGAAAACTTTTAGAAAGGCCATCGAGGACCTTTCTAGATGCTTTAGACGTCAAAAAAACCCATATATGGGAGTAAGTCCGGTCGGCTAACAGACGTCCGCATGGTCTGTCAGATTACAAAACTGTAGGTCGATTATTTGACGGTCGTTACGGGAAGTCATCCACTGAGTTTGTATTTCGACGAAGTGCTCAACCCAACAAGCATAAGATGTCACAGGGCTATGTTAACGGCGACTTCTAGATCCGATCTCAACATATGCATTCAGTCTTTTCCCCGACATTTCTTTACTTGAAGGACATACTATTTGTGTAGCTTCCGCGTTCTCTCTGAGACCCCCGAATCAGCGGCTCAAGTGGAACTGCATTGATAGAAGTTGCCTCGATATGGTGTGGTGTGATGACTGTGTTGATTCATTCACGCAGATCATAATGATAATCCGGTCCCCAGAAGAGTCATTAGCTCATCAACAAACTTTTGTTTGTTCTCCCAACCGCTGCTACTAATCCACAGCAGGATCCAACTTCT